AATGAAACACAATCAAATCAAACAAAAGAAGGGATAGAATAGGGTGCATCTTGCATTCTTAAATAAACTCAGAGCCTGATTTTGGAAACTTTTCAGGGTATTGCCAAAATAAAAAACTGTGTTTCACTCTGTCAGAGGCTTTTTTGGAGTCAAGCAAGAGGAAGAATAGTTTTGTGCTGAGGTCTGAGATTTGTATGACAACATTAAGGCCTCATTTTAGTTTATTTGGAACTATGTCTACTTTTTTTACAGGGCTCGTTGGATCCAGGTGTCCTAGGTAACTTATTTCAGAAAGTCTGTTTTCAACGTTTCCTAGTCAGAAAGCTATTGCCTATATCCAAAATGGAGATAGGTCTATAGGGGCATATGGATCAAGTTCTGGTTCTTTTTTAGGAAGGATTGTAATAGTGTCTCCCCAGTTGCTCGAAGAACTTTCTTTCGCAGTTTATGGGGGATCAGTTTAAATTGTGATGCATCAATCTGCAGCAGAATAAGTTTTCTAAAATTTAAATTCATAACCTTCCAGGTTTGAAATTTTATTTTAATGATTTGATTTTACTCTCAAATTCCTTAACTACCAAGGACCCGAACAAACCCTCTGCTTTGTATTTTCTAAGCTTTGTGAGCATGGCCACTGCCAAGAATTCTTGCATTTGGTAATATTATTGCAGGGATTCTTGCTTGCTATACAGAGCTATGCAATAGTGGCCAAAAACACCTATTATGTCTTTTGCTTTCTGAGTCAAATGGTTATTTTGTGGATATTTAATTTTTGTTACTTTCCTAACAATCTGCTGATACCTTATCTCAAATGGCAAAAGCCTACTGGCTTGCTTTCCATGTTTGTGTTAGTTTTACCTATATTACTTAGCTAATTGTTTGTTCATAAGATTATGTAGTTCTTTCCTATGCTGCTTTACTTTTCTGAATGTCCTTGTTGATAAACTGATTCTTGAGTTTGCATCTAAAGCCTTATTTTTTTCTATTTAACATGTCATATTGTTCACTCCATAGAATTTTCCATACTGAAGCAAATATAATAATTCTGTCCCAAGATGACAATCCCCTAAGAATCCAGATATCAGTGGCTGTGACACCAAGAGAAACTGTCAATTCCTTTCAAGAATTCAATGTGTAGGCACTGGAGCCTAACACAAATACAGCTGTAATTCTTCTTTAAAAGGTATATGTGTACCTGTAGAGGGGGAGGAAGAGAGCGCTGGAGACCAAAAGGGTTTACAGTATTAACTGCGGGTCAGGGGGCAGAGGTAACTGGGAAAGAACTGCAGTGAGAGTCTGGAAGTCAGTCATCAGAAAAGGGGGATGGAAAGCATAAGTAAAGGGGGAAAGGTTGTGTGGGCCTGGACTGGGGACATTCAGAGCTTCAGGTAAGTATCTGAACTGAACTTTTGAGCCTTTGGGGTTTGCCCACCCCTAGTCACAAGCCAGTGTTTGTAACATCACTGACTGTTGCCATGGAAAGTAACATGATACCACAAATACCGCATTCTGACTTCTCTGCGGGATCAAGTAGAAAGAGCTGGAAAGAGGCAGAGTCTTGTTTAAACTCAAATATTTTCAATTAATTAGGAAACATAGCAAGATAAATAATGAAAACCATGTGAAAGGTAAATGATTTTTTGGTTTATATCTAATATGTTTGAAAATTTCTCTAATATGAAAGTCTCTTTTTAACTCACTTTGACTCTACAATACTTATTCATGGGGAACAAGGGCCTCAGACCACAATGGAATTTAGTGGGCAAGGGGGTAGGTTTTTTTTAAACCAAGCTCAACAAATTGCTTAACAGGTTAGGGGGCTCAGGTGTATTTCACATATCTCGGGTATTTAAAAATACTTCACTGCATGTATGTCATTTAGATTGTTTATTGATTAAAATGCCACACCAAAGAATGTCCATCCAGAGCTCTAAGTGCCCTTATCATAAACTTAAAAGCACAATTAAAAAAAGAGATGAAATAAGTGAAAGCATGTGTTCCCATTGCCTCCTTTCTTTCCCATCTCTTCCCTCTTGGATTTGACATTAAAATAGTTGCATTGTACATAAAGTGTTTCCAAACAAATCTGTTGCCGTAGACATGACAATGTCAGTTACAGCTGGCGCTTCACCCTTAATGTTAATAAATATCATTGCTTTGGTAGGGTCAAGTCAGTGTCCTAATTCAGCATGGAATTCACAGCAGTAAAACCACAGAAGCTAATGGAGCTATTTCTGTAAACAAGGGCTGCTAGATCAGCCCCCAAATAGTCATGTAAAAATCAAGATATCCAATGTTAAAAAAAAAAACACACAAAAATTATTTATATATTTTGTACCGCCTGCTTTTTCTTGTAATGTAATAAATCACCACAATTATTGTTTTCATATAAAAGTAGCTTAGGAGTTCAGTTCTCAAATATCACATTAACAGTTAAGTAATTGATTAACGGACTCTTCGTTATACAATTACTATATAAATAGCTTGCCATTTATAAGAATGTTAATCCTCTTATCCATTAGTAATTATTGTTTAATCCATATCTTGCAATATTACTATGGGTCAGCTTCATTAATTCAATAAAGCCAGGGTGAATTTCTTCTTTCTAAATACTCACTATCTAGTATGTTAATCAACCATAACCTACTTCCAAATGCTGGGTCAAATCGAATAGCCCCATTGACATCATTGGCACTACTCATATGAATAGAGAAAGCAAAATTAGCCTTCTGTGTGTCATACTTTTGTTGTTTTGAATCTATAGGTTTCTTTTCTTGTCATTTTGTTTAAAATTTGGTATCATGGGAATGTCAATTGTTCATTTAAAGAAAAGTCTATCATAGAGGCTGAGTAGTACAGTGAGTAGGTTACTGGACTGGGAGTTAGGAGAACTGGGCGCTATTCCCTGTTCTACTACTGCTCTGCTGTGTGTCCTTGGGCATGTCACTTATGCACTGTTTCCTCTCCTACCCTTTGTCTGTCTTGCCTGTTTAGATTATAAGCTATTCTGTGCAGGGCCCGCCTCTTACCCATGTTTTAGGCATAGTGATTAACATCTCTGTTGCGGCCTCCAGATGCTGCTGTAATACACATAATCAATCATAACGCATGTCAAATTTCCTCCACCAAGGGAGTTGCCATTTTTGTGAAAAACATGCTCCAAGCTATACAAAACTACTTTATCTCAAGTTAAACATAACCAAAGTTTTAGGCTTGTGTGTTGGATCATACAGAATATTTTAATTCTGTGAACGAACTTGAATGTTAAAAGGGAAACGGCTCTGTAGTAGTAAAAAGATTTCCTGCACCTCCAGATATGTTCACCCTCAAACGGGTACAGAAGCTGTTGTTCACACCTCCTTCACAGGAATGGACTTGCCATATGGACCTGACCTTGCAGTCCTTACTCAGGCCAAACTCCCATTGAAGAACTGAGTGGTCAGACCACACATCTCATTCCAAGGACTAAGTCACTTAAATATTTAATATATTTAAATTAACAAGCAAATACGAAGTTGCAGACTTGACAGTCTGTTGCCCAGTTCTGCATTCTCTGCACACACAGAAGTTTGCTTGACTTCAAGTTCAATGGGACCTTGGGGCAGAGAAGGAGGCAAGCCCCTGATCATTTAGGGCAGGACGTGGCTCTATTCTCCCACCTCAGACACAATTCACTGCCATTGCCATAACTGTGAGTTTAAATACATGTGAAGTCAGTGAGAGTAACTCTTATTTTGAAGGGGAAAAAATCAGGCCCAGGGAACGTAACCCACTATTTCAATTTCTGACCAAATAGGAGACTTCAACGCTGAAAGCTACTCTCGGTCTCTTTCACTAACAATTTTAAGTGTCGTTTAATTTTAAAAGAATGATTGTCAAAAAAAAGGACTCCTTTTGAAGCGTTTTTGACAATCTCCTGCTTTGTTACACATTCATCTAGTGAGCTGCAACCCCCATGTCCTACTGCAACTCATCTGACCTGCCCTCCTGCTGGGAAGTTCCGCTAAAACAACTGCTCTCCCCTGAGCCCATCTGTAGTTATGGAGATATTGAAACAATGGCAGACATTTCTTACAACTGTTTAGAAAATGCAGTGGTAATTACATAGGCTTATTTAGTAAGGGCTAAATGACCCCTCCTACAAAGGAGAACGACACTGAGGAGGGGGACTTTCCAGGGCTTTAAAAAGTGCTGCTGGCACCACCTGGAGCGTTCTCCTGCTAGTATATTGTGATTCATTGTGGTGGAGGGTGGGGTCATGACCCTGCCTTCCTTTTATCCAGACACACCCCTCTGGTGCTTTGAGAACTGTAGGCATCCCCCCCACTCCTGCCCCTCTACACTCCATTACCTGCAGATAAATTACTGCTGCTTGGGGGGGGAGGAGAAGGGGGAAGGAGAGTTATTGGAGGGGAGGAACTCCCCTTTAGGGCTTTCTCACAGACAGCTGTAATCTGGCCCTCAGTATCTAGCTAAGATTTTGTAACTAGCCTGCAGTGATGCCAACTCTCATGATTTTGTCATAAGTCTCATGATAATTGTTGTTTTCCTTAAAGTCCCAGCTCCTAGAGTCAAGTGGATATGTGATGATTTCAGCCTTCGTTCTTAACTTATTTTTCTTTTCTAGCCCTTGTGGCTGTGGAGGAAGCTTCAAAATATGACCCCAGTGCATCCTAACAGCTTAAAAAGCAGAAGGCAAATAGAAAGTTATTATTTTTACATAATCTAATGATTTTAAAGCCAATCTCATGATTTTTGGTGAGCCTGACACAATTTTTGAACATTTGGGATTGGCAATACTGACTAGTCACTGCAGGTTTTGCTTTAAGGTGTTTTTTTAAAAGATATTTTAATGCAACATGTTGCCATTAAAATTTTCAGTGTTCTTAAGCTTGCTTCCACTTTTAAGACTCAAGTAGACAAATTTTTAATGTTTTACAAATGATAAAAAATTCACATCAGAATTAAGCATACTTATTAAACACACCGGGGGCCTCTGAAAAAATGTTATTCAATTTAATAGTTTTTAATTTACATTGTATATGTACAAGAGCATTTCTTTCAACCCACAGCTTAACAAAAACCAAAAAACCCACACTGCTGTTAGAAGAGCAGAGAAACTTTTGAAATACTCTGTTGTCTGAAATAAAAGCAAGGCACTCTCCTCTAACAGCTGATATATTCCTGAATTCAGCCTGCAAAAAGGCATGTTCACACTGAGAGAGCTCGAACAAAAGTAGTAGGCTAATCTTCTTTAATTCTTTCTTTTGCTATCATGATCCGTCATTGATCATACTGCACAAATAAATTTTGTGAATTTAAATAAATGTGAAGGATATTCCACAGATTACATGATGTTGGAGAGTATCACAATAAAGAACGTCTATGGAAAACTGAAGCACATTGGCGACATGAAGTCTAACATAGGGCTCTGGACCGGCTACCATCAAAAACAGGCTTCCTAGTAAACGTATCTTGTTCCTAGAAAAACGATGCTGATTCGTGTGAAAATACTTTTTGAGGGCCCAGTCCCATGAAGTGCTGAAAGTCCTCAGCTTGGAACTAAGAATGCTCCGCAGCTTTCAGGATTTGTCCTGAAATAAAGATGATTTCTCAAGGGACCTTGGCCCAGATCCTCAACGGTGTTTAGGCATCTTGTTTTACACAAAGGGACAGAAGTAAACACACTTTTGGATGTCTAGTGTGTGTGTGTGTGCGCGTTTGTGTACAAATTATATACAAAATTTCAAATTCAGTCAAAATGGATTTGTCTTGCAGATCAGGCATCTGACACCAACCTACAAGAAATTTTAGCTTCTCTGATATTTAATTATACTATTATGTTTGCACATAAGCTTAAAAGTCAATACTAAAAGTAAAACGCTTCCAAATATTATCTTCAGGTAAACTGGAAATATTGACTATAGTGATTAGAAGTCTGTTTTCCTATTGACACTACTAGAAATCTTGATATAAGAATAATTTTCATAAAAGCACATCCAAACATAATAAGTGATCAAATACCAGATGACTACTTGAAAACAATACAATGATTTGATATCTGGGTTATCTGTTGCAGCAATTAGGCAATTCATTTGGCATCTGTTTGATAGTATAATTTAATTTCCATATAAACAGCATAGTTTAAAAAAAAAGACAAAAAGCTAGAATGTTTAAAGCTAACAAAAGATACAGTGACATCAGGTTGACATTCAAAAAAAATTTCTTAGCAAAATGATCAACAAAATTTTGACTTAATACAGTGCATATAATGTTTTTTTAGAACTAAAATATTTAAATATTATTTGAATTTAGCAAAACATGAGCAAGATTTTAATATCAAAGTGCTAAACAGTACTGCCTTAAAAGTCACTGCAAATAAACTGTAAAATAACTTTGCTTGTGAAGTGACAGATATTTTATATACAAATGGTTAATAAAAAGACACACACACACATATGTATATATGTATATATATATATATGTATATATACACACACACATATTTATATGTATATATACACACACACATATATATATAGTTCTCTAACTGGTGTATCTGAGTCAGTGTGAACACCCCATTTAGTTACTTTGTGTAACACGGCTCCCATGAGCTGGCAGTCATTGCAATAAATACAGGCAAAGCCATTACAATATACCATGCATACAAACGTTTATACAAATAAAGACACTATGCAACAAATTATTTCATATTAATATGGCATCAACAGTATAAACATACAAAAAAGGAGTACGAACACGGAATGTTTAAACGCAGCCCACTATAGCCTTCCTAGCTCTTACATTCATACTATTTTACAAGACTTGCTTGTTCTTCAAAACCGTCTTGTGTCTGTTTACTAACTTGTTACTAGATTAAATCTAAAACTTAACTATCCCTGATGCTGACCCTGTGCGTTCCAATCACTACTTACTTTTACTTCCTTATCTAAGGAACAAGTGCTCAACTGAATCACAAATTGTCCCTGTGTCTTCCACATACATTTGTCAGTAAGTCACACTACATGGATTCAAGTTTGGGAAACTTTGTCGTGTAAGTTAGTGCATGTAATCTTCTCACTTGATTTCTTCAATTTGATTTTCATATTAAAATAAATTAGTTAATAAACAAGACTTAGTAAGACAGCACTTTAAAAAATTGCACTTGAACATGGGAGCTAACAGCCATTGTCATTTTGCTATATCTGATTTATACGAAATATTCAGTTGAATGTACTTTGTTAAAAAAAGTGAACTTTTGTTTAGTTTGTGCCAATATGTGTGCCCTTGATACAGGAAGTATGCTAAAGGTATCATCACAAAACACATACTACCCTGGCAAACAACTATTTGTTGTTCTTGTTTTCAAACACAGCTTCTACATTTGTATTCCCCATATATGACGAGGTGTTAAACACAATAGATTTAAAACAGTCTTGTTAACCTTTTACTGCTGGGATAGCATTGTCCAAAAGTGGCTTATTAGCAATTTGTAAAAAAACCCTAATCACACAAAAAATAAACAAAAACAAGAGCACAACCCCGAAATAGTAAGCCATTAAATTTTAGGCCTTAGTTTGCAAGGAAAAAGCGTCTGAAAAGTCCTCATTTTAGGGCTGGAGTTGCTTTTCTGTTATGCGAGGGCAGAAATGTTAGCAGTAAGTCACAATCCATTTGCCTGCTCTGGTGGGCATTAGCCTTTCATGAGGGTAATTTGAGACTCAGAAAGGTAGGGTATCCAGAAACAACTTGTCAATAATGGAAGGGGGTGGCACCAAATCTTCCAGTTTCAGGTAAAAGATGCGCTGCAGTCCCAGTGTGCAGAGAGAACGCAAGTCAGCAAGAACACCTAGTACTTTAGGCTCTGCAGACTCAAGTGGCTGTCCTTTGTTTTGGCAGCTGAAAGCTAAGTGATCTTTTAAGCTGCTAGTGATCTTGTTGCATAGCTCTTCCACTTTCTTTGGTTCTTTTAATCCATGTCGTACTGCAAAAGGATGGCAAGAAAACAGCCAAATCAGTGTCATTATGAGAATAAACCTGCTCTTTACTCTTGGGCAATCAACCTATAACTAGGTAATACTGTAATAGACAAAATGAATACCTTTTAAAGTTGTTAATAATAATAATATATTAGAATGGTGATGCCATATCATATTGACTGACCTTGTTTCATGCAATAAGAAAATGTAATAATTGCCCTTTCTTGTTAGCAGCCAAAATATTTAATGGTGGCTTTCAATTATAATTTAAATTATAATTAATATAAGAAAGCTGAGCTATCTACATATTAACCTACATTTTTAATTATATAAGGCATAATTTAATTGGACAATTTTATGGCAAAATGATCACAGGAGGTGTTTTGGAGATTTCCTTGCCTCCCTACCAGTTGTGAATGCTCAATAACTATGGCAACCATTATTTATTCAGTGAATTCAAGTGGAGATCAATATCCACTGCCAGCTCCATCAGCACTAGGCCTGGAATTCCACTAGGAATTTACAGACACTCTTGCAAGAAACCAAAGGCACCTCGACCATTCTTTTTTATTTTGATAATCTACAGCTTTTACTTATCACTAAAAAGTCTGAGATAAAAGAACTCTGGAAGTCAACTATTTCCACCTTTGAGCAAGCAACGCATAAAGTAAAAGAGCTACTGTGTTACCCATCATGAAAAACTTCTGAAATTCCTAAAACCAAAGCAATGGCTTTTAGCTAAGGTGTTTCCTCCCCTCCTTTATGTTCTGTTAAAATGCTGCAGTGAAGTTACACATCCTCAGTTCATTAAGCTTGAGGAGGAAGCTTCATATTTGTGATTCATTAAAAACAGTCTCTTAGCAGACATATATGAAAAGATAGCTTTGCATCATTGTTTACCGTCAATACTTACTGGATGAATTAATGTAACATGTTTCTGAACAATAATCTCAAATAACTGTTGCATTTTAATTTGTCTTTGAATTTCAAATGTGCAGAAACATAAGAATTTGCTTCACAAGCAACATTATCATCCTTCTTGTTTTAAATACAATAATAATTGCCAGGGAGGTGCAAGAAAAAACAGATTAAATTAACTAGCAAACATAATGTACTGTAGATAGTTAGGCCTGCAACCAATCAAGCAAATATGGTGGGAGAATGGTGGGAGGGGAAGAAGTGGGGAGTTGTGAAAGATTTATGCTCAATGCACTCCCAATTATCTGTAGCCCCCCTTCCCATCCCCATCCTTATGCCAAGATTATGCTCCATTCTCCCAATCTCTCTTCCCCTCTTTTCCATTGTTCATGGGAAGGAAGGATCTGGCAGGAGGCACTTTCTTCTGGATATCTCCCAAAAAAGGGGAACCAATGCAGGGAGCACATTCTTCTTTGCCCCCAAAACTAGGAATAATGAAAGTGTAGGGGCTCTGTTGGGCTCCTCACTCTTCTCAGGCACGTATGTATATATATATGTGTAGTGGGGGACTGTGCTCCTGAATTTCTCTCTGTAGTGCAGGGGTAGGCAACCTATGGCACGCAATTTTCAGTGGCACTCACACTACCTGAGTGCCCCGGTCCAGGGGGTTTTGCATTTTAATTTAATTTTAAATGAAGCTTCTTAAACATTTTAAAAACCTTATTTACTTTATATACAACCACAGTTTAGTTATATATTATAGACTTATAGAAAGAGACCTTCTAAAAACATTAAAATGTATTACTGGCACGCAAAACCTTAAATCAGCGTGAATAAATGAAGACTTGGCACACCACTTCCGAAAGGTTGCTGACCCCTGCTGTAGTGACTGGTCGGGATATATGTTTTTGATAAACTAATTAAAATGGAGGTGACTGCAATAAAAATAGACAGAAATTTATCCTCTCATTTTTACCAGTTTGACACTTGTGTAACTCCATTGACTTCAATGGAGCTAACTCCTGAGTTATACTGGTGTGAGATCAGAATCAGGCCCAGATGTGTAAACCTTTGGCTCGAAGCTAATATACTCTACCGTTTGCCATCAATCTGGCTTGCTATGTAACAAGACATGAAAAATACTCATCTAGGTAGTAACAGCTGCTCAAACATCTTCACCTTCAAGGAATTTCAAAACCTAGATATTTGAAGTGACTTGTTTACATTCAAACACAAGAGTCACTGAACATTTAATAAATTTCCAGTAAATTGTGTATAACGTAATTATGTAAGCCTGACTGTACAGGTCACCGAGAGTAAATACTTAGAGGGATGCTGCCATTTAAAGAACACAGTGACTAAATATTTTATAAAAATTGAAAAATCTGTGGGGATTTTTTGGCCCAAGTCTTCTGGGGAATTCTGAGAAACATTAAATTAATCTCTAAATCTTTGAAGTGCTCCCACCTTTTAATCTGCATTAAGGTTGTATTTTAGCAATGTTAGTGAAGACATATTTATAGGTCCAGAGATCTGATATACTTAAACAGATCCACAGGCTGACTTTAAAAATAAATAACTATGTAGTATAGTGGAGATGCTGTAAACCTATCCCATTACTTTGTGCATTGCTGCAGAGTTTGGAAAATCAACTACTGGACTTGAGCGCATAGGGCCAGATCCTCAAAGGTATTTAGGCCCCAACATCTCTTTGAAGATCTAGGCCACAGGCAATTTATTTCCCAAATCTCTAAATCTTTGAATCTAAATTAGGACCAAACCCTCAGTTTGTGAGGTTCTTACCCACGAAAGCTTATGCTCCCAATACTTCTGTTAGTCTTAAAGGTGCCACAGGACCCTCTGTTACTTTTTACAGATTCAGACTAACACGGCTACCCCTCTGATACTTGACACAATTTAACATGTTTCATTAGCAATGTGTTTCTTGTTGATTAGCAGTGATATGAAATGTCTAAACGTTATCTTAAAAGTGTTACTGGCCTAAATAGCAAAACCAAGGAAATTTCAGAACTAAGGCATACTCCATCCTTAATTTACTCTGTTGTGCCTCAGTATCAAAACAATCTCTGAACAACAGGTAGGATTTACTACACTTCAATATGGGTGAAATCCATGGGCAAAACTCCCATTGATTTCAATGGAGCCAGGATTTCATCCTATATGTACGGGTGAATCTACAGGTGACACGACGGAGCAAGTATGAAGGACATTTTCTATCCAAACAATGAGCTTTGTTATGCTTATCGCTTAAAAAAAAAAAAAAGAATTCGGCCTTAAAATACATGCCAGCATCACTTTGCTAAAAAAGCTGTATGTAAATAAATTTAAATAAAGGGCCAGATTATTTTCTTCAACATAAAAAGCCATGGGATGAAACTATCCACTTGAAAATCTCCACAAGGAATTCTTCATGAAAATCAATTCACACTGTCCCACTGGAGGGGAGCTTTTTGCTCCCCACTCACCCAAAAGCCATCCCTGAACCTGGTGAGTCTATGGGAAGCCAAGGCCAGACACGCGGAGGCCTGTACCCTGGTAATGGCATTGCCCCATCTGCTCATCCACCCCATTCTTGGCAGCATGCTTCCAGTTAATTTCTTGAGAAGGTATCTATTTAATAAACCTTCGCTGTTTATTAGTCACTGTTCCATTTAGGCAGTGTGTGTAGTAAGGGTATTCTTTGATCTATTAGTTTATCACACCTCTGAAGTCACTGGAAAGTACTTTTCTGATAGCATTCAAGTGACTCTAAGTAGAAGGAGACAAATCTTGCTTGTTTTACCCATGTACGTCCTCCCATTGGGTCAGATTAAGACCTGGAGCCCACTATGCTGCCATTGACTCCAATGGGAGCAGGAGCAGGCCTTTGGTGTAAGCAGGTGCAACTACACTGAAGTCAATGGAGTTGTAACCGTTGCCGTTGGATCTCAATTAGGCCTGTTCTCTTCAATGGCAGTACGCATGTGAATAACAAGGGCAGGATTTGCCCTGAGAAGGACAGCTAGTCAAAAAAGAGGTTTTCACTAAATAACGGAGGAGGTGCACAAATACTATTGTACGCACACCTCCTTACAGTAGCAGTGAAACAGGTGCAGGGCAGGTGAAAAGTAGGATTTTTCTGCCTTGTGAATCACTCCCTGGTTAGTTGGCCTCTCACCCACTTTTGCAACAAAAATGGTATCTCATGGTAGGGATGCCCTCCATAAACCTGAAGAAAATGACTCATCATCAGGAGTCTTTCAGAAACTCGGCATCTAGACCTCTGCAAAGTCAGCAGTTAATCCTGAGAAATTTGAACACAGACAGTTTTTCACACCCTTCTTCACCCCAGGTGATGTCTATGTGATTCCTGGCTATAAACCTGCTGAAGGTCACACTTCTGCAGGAAGAAAATGAAAGACCAGAGCAAAGTTCCAGGCTTAGCTTGCCTACCCTCCCTAACTCTGGACAGTGGTGGAGTATAGCAGGATTGGACTGATCCATTGACGCAGGCCTACCTCTCTAGAAAACACCACCCCCTGCAAATATACAAGGGATTTTTAGGCTCTGTATTTAAGTCAATCTGGGTCTCGTTTAATAAATTCCTATCCACCAGAGATGTATTAATATCCTGGAGTCTATGTCCCAGATTCAAAAAGGGCCTCCTACCCAATTATATTGAAAATTGGGGTCTCTCCTAGTTTCAGTATAATTATCTGATTTCCTCTTCCTTTTTTACAAGCCCTTCCTCTTCCAAAATTGAAAGAAATTCCGGGCGTCACTGCCTCTGTGCTTTCCATGTTGGCACTGTTCTACTTAAGCATCTTCTGGTTCTTTAGACCTTTGGATCCCACATTTCAAGATCTCTAGTGTAAGTGATCCAAAAAAACAGAACAGCATAGAATTCATTTCTTGCTCTCATGGGGATGTGGGAAGAACGTCTTGCACTGTTTTCTAATTACTCTCTTCTGGCTGATGCTCAAAGCAGTGTTGACGTGCTCTGGAGGAAGATGTGTCTAGCCCTGCCTAACTAACTGAAGGAAGTAAAAAGGAGAACAGAGACAGAGAGAGGAAGATCCTAGAGGAGCACCTGAAATAAAAAAAGCCTACTATGGTATTGTGAAGTTTTGAGTTAACTGTTTGCAACCCACCTTCATCAAACCAAATGTCAGTTCTTCTAATCTGGGTGAAGGCTAATACTATAACCATATAACCTGTCATAAGGGACCTATTGAGTCTGCAGCACACTGTCTTATATTCTGCACCAAGGCTCGGAACATCAGATAAACAGAAAAAAACACATTTTACATTAATAACATAATGTGCCTATTTAATTCATTAAAAACTTCTCTCTTTTTAGTCTTTTTCTGTATATTTCATGCTGCTGCATATCTTTCAATTTATCTCTGTATTTAGTATTGACAATACATTTACAACACCCTTCAAATTGTGTGTAATCCCAGTGTGACATTACACAAATTATTTAATGAGTCAATTTATGTATTTGTAAATAATTTGCCTATAACCATAAGTTCCATCTTGTCAATATGCTTTCACCCACACTGGGAGGGGGAGGAGAATTGGGGAGGGAGAGACTGGGGGAAGGGGTAGGACATGGAGCCGCACAAAAGTTGTCAGCTGAGAGTGGGTTGGCTGGGATAGGCAGAAGGATGGCTGAGGGTGCTCGCACAGGTACTGGAGAGTGTCTAGAGATACTGGGTAGATGGATGCATGTCTGGAAGGTGTTAGGGTGGTTGGGGTAGGTCAGGTACTGTAGGGTGTCTGGGAGTGCTGGGATGGGTGGGTGGCTGGATGTCTGGAGGGTAACTGGGTATTGGCTGTCTGTTGGGGGTATCTGGGGAGGTAGCCTGAAGCTAGGTGAGGGTAGCTAAATACTATGTTGAGGTTTCTGAGGACAGCCCTGGGGTCCCCTCCCCTTTTATGCATGCTGCTGGCTGCTCCTCCCCCAAATCCAGCAGGGGAGGAGCAGAGAGGCTGCCTGCAGAGCAGGAGCTTGAGCGTTCCCCAGTGGCTGGGAGGAGCAGCTTCAGTCCATTCATTCAGTTCCACTGAATGCATGATCTCTCAGCTGGGCTACAGGAATGTGTGATGCTGCTTCAGTGCAGTGAGGCCAGGGGGAGCAGCTGCAGGATTTGACAGCCTGGTGTGAAGTTGCTCCTGGTATATTTCTGGGGAAAGTTGGGGTGAGAGAGTTTTCTGGCTTTGGGAGAGTGAAATGGTCCAGGTTAATTTTACTGTGGGGACGGCAGGGTTTAGCAGCACAGAAGAGTAAAACCAGATGGGCTGGGCTGGGCAGCTGAGAAAGGAGAATGGCATTCAATAGGATTTGAGGCTGGGGGAGGGACTTGACCACTGGGAGCACAGGGAGTGGGGATGGAGAGGGAGAAGGAAAACCTCTTTTAGCCCCAGTACTGGCTTTTACTATCCTCTTTCCTTGTCCCTCCACAGGACAGAGGAGTTAGTTCTCTCAAACATCCCCTAACTACTTCCCTTCCTCTCTCCTGCTCCCAGCACCCTACTGACTACCATACTACTTCCCCCCACCCTCTCCTGAGAGCACTGGCCTTTGTTTGATTCATGAAGAACACTCCTGAGGTCAGGCAGAACAAGCAGAGCACCACTCTCAGAAGCCCTTCTGTTTACTTAGATACACGGTGCAGGGACTGTTTCTGAGGTTGGTGCTGCCTGAGACCAGTATGTGCAGTGGCATACTCAGGCTATAGGGGAAAGCCAGGAAATGATTCTCCATGAACAAATCCCACAACGAGGAGTATTCAGCCAGAGCATTCTCCAGATTATAACCATTTCCCCATTATGCTATCACTGAGAAATTATAAGAATAAAGATAAACAACACTGTTTATGCAGCTCAAACAGTATTTTGTGCTGTTCCTTCTACTGCAATCACCTCTCTCTCAGAGCTTTCTATACCACTCATCATTTTATGGTAAATCCTTAAAAACCATATTAATGGAGATGTGCCAACATCATAAGTCAAAGGAATAAACAAAAAATTATATCAATTTCAAGCTCCATTATAAATATAGGGGGAAAGAATATCAATCTTTGACAAATACAGACACAGAACATTGGTAGGGAGAGAAATGTTATTTCTTCATATTTAGAGATAATGATTACTTTCATTTGTCTGGAGGTTTTGAGAAGACTAATTAAACACAGCAAATATCTCTATACCGAAAGAGCTTTTATCACTAGAAAATGCAAGAAACATGGGAATGTATTAATTGAAAGTTATTCTCATTAAACATTTTATGTGCATCCAACTCGCCATAAACAATCTTTACTGGTTTATGCCAGGGCAACTGAACAGGGTGTGAATGAGCAAGCATCATGATGCTAAAACAGCGTTTGGGTACATGAGGAAGAACATATCACATGTTCACAGAAGTAGTTTGCATGAGGTTTTATTCCTTTAAGTAAATCCCTGAAATCTCCAGGAAGATAATTAGGAACAGGTCTCATAGTTAGAGAAAAGGATGAAAAAAAAGTCAAGGACATTTTCTTTTTGCTGTAACAATTCACTCATTTTGGGCCTGATTCTTACATGAGTGTAAAGCAAAGTGACCCTACTGAGTTATTCTGCATGTACTCATGGTGTCAATGAGATCAGAATCTGGCACTTATTGTACCTCTCTTAATCATGGGGACATTAGTACAAATTGATTTTAAAAATAGGAAAATACTTTTCATAAGAAACCAGTATTGAAGCTAAAACCAGTATGTATTAAATCATCCCCAACTGCAAGAGGGAAAAGTACCCTATAAACTCTGAAGATGAAATCCTGGTACCATTGAAGACAATGGGAATTTTGCCCTTGACTTCAATGTAGCCAGGATTTCACCTCAGGTCTCCAGAGAATCATCTCATCTAGGGTGAAAGAATGATGCCACTTGCAGGGGACTGGGAGTAGAACTTACAACTTTGTAGATGCCCTGAGATCTGTGAGGAAATCCATGTCCATTTCTGTGGATCTCAGGGCATCTTTGTAAAGATTCAGCCCCTCTCCACCTTGGAGTCATGGTACAATGAAGCACTGTATCACCACTGAAGACCCAGCTGCATCTGTACATTATCATCCTCTCTGAGAGGGGTTAAACAGAAAGACCGGAAGTGAATGCCACTCTGAGTAACACTAACTCCTGCTGTATTTCTACAAGATTGTCAGGGACATCTGCCCCCAGCTCTCTCCACTTCAGCCAGCTATGCCCCCCAAATCACAAAGCCTCAGGTCTGCAACGTTTAAATGGAAGGGCTTCTACTGTCTCAGGAAGAGAGAAATTATGCTTTACAAGTTATAATGCCCCCATTCTGTGCTTACAAGAGAGATGTGGTAGGCATTTGTACTAGTTTCATCCCCTTTATCCCATGCGGCAGAGGGGCTGAAATGGTCTTATGTATACACAAATAATTCACTAACAGTATGCAGAAAAATTCCCATTGCATCCCCCGCCCCCCGTGCTATTTGGTTTGAGATGTATTTCACCTTTTTAGAGAATGTTCCAAGAAAACATAAAACCCTGGAGAAAGAGGGAGTCATTCGGATTCCATTTTAATAGGTGTTTCCAGGAGTGAGCTAGTGAATGAGTGTACACTATTGCCAGCCAGACTTTCAATATCGCCATTACAAATGTTCAAAAATCAAGCTCACCTTATCTGGAATATAACAAAATCAACTGAAAGCACTCAGATCTATGCTAACAATACAGTGCTAGTATTTGAAGATTGCCGTTACCAAAAGAGCACTTACCTGTAATCATACTTAGAGCTGATAAACATGCTAAGGCTGGGATATCAAGGTTAAGGCTCTGTAAATTTAATGAAAAGTCTTTAATTGACTCGAGCCACTCCCCAAATCCACGAAGGCACTGAAGTCTATGAAGCACAAGTCCATTGCAGAATACAAACTTATCTTCAGCAGTATCGGATCTTGAAAAAAAAATTAAAATCATAAACACACATAATTTTACAAAAAGATGTACACAAAATACTGAAATGTGTATCATTTAAGATCTCACACATATTATTACGGGGCATATGTGGGCATTCATGTTTGACAATATGCTTCTTCCTGGGGGGCAAAACTACAACAAACAAGCTTCTATGATTGCTTACTTTGTAGAGTTATAAGCCTGAGGTTAACTGTAGCATGTGCTGTAGACTGTCTAATTAGTTAAGATTTTTGGTCCTGCCAAAGGCACAAGCAGCAGAGACATTTTACATTAAATACTGTATGTTTGAACCTAAGGAAGACAAAGTGTGTATGCTTTGAAATACAATAATAATATGACTTGGAGAAAGCAGAGATTATTTTCAGGTTGTAACCCTTAGTGTTTCCCCCCTTCCATTTCTCAAGTTTCAAAAACTGATGAAGACAAAACAATAGAAAATATATAAACGAATGTACACAAACACACAGAACATACTGTAATACTCAAGGCAGAAAATCTCTTATGTGAAAAATCTACAGTATGTGTCAGACTACAACTAAACACGGAAAAGAATCCCTGTTAAAAAACAAACAAACAAACAAACAAACAAACATAGTTCATCTTCACCCTAAGGAAACAGGGGCATAACTCAAAACTCCATCCTGGGATTTTCCTGTAACTATCTTAGGTACAATGTCTTAACTAGTGCCAGGCTGACGAATGGCACCTCACTCTGTGAAATGACTTGGTATTAGGAAGAAAAACAATCTGAACAGGATTTTGAAGCCCCTTTATCCCCTTCCAAAACAGAATTTCAAGACATCTGTGTGAAAGTAAAAAAACCCCAAACCATTGCATTACAAATGCTCTTCTACAGGTCATATAGGCAAATACAAAACAGCCTCACTCGAAAGTAAATAAGGACAAATTATGATTAAAAGGAGAAAAGAAAATTTGGTAAATCCAATAAATGGAAGCACGTTAGTGAGAATAATATTATTCCATTTTTGTACATTATTTTCTTGTTTTTCCTCATTTGTATCACAAATTGAACACAGTATTTTGTGTCTTTTGTTGCTGTTTGTTTTTGGCTGTTTTCACAAATGACAAAAGTAAAGCTATCGCTCTACTTATCCTTTAAAAAAAAAGTTGAAATTCACAGTTTTTCACATCAATTTAATATGGGATTATTTTCAATCACAAGTAATTACCTGATGGAGAGTCTTAGTACAAACAGCTCCAAAAAAGCTGATTCTATGAGTAACGTCTGATCTTCCTTTGGGAGATCAGTAAATCCTGGAATTTTTTCCGCCCAGCCCCTGGATATGTCAATGGAGGCAGTCAGAAGATTATAGAACTGTTGTACATGTTCTGCATCTGTGCCTGCGGCAGCCTGGTCAGTGGAACAGTACTAAAATGAAAGCCACAGAAAGTAATATTATGCGTTTTTAAAGAATGCCACAATACATACAATGCTGTCTGCTCAACAGTGTTTTTCCAGTGAGTCCCTCAACAGCAAAGACAGTAGGTTATTTTATCCAATGGATAATAAGCAGTTAAATATGAATGTAATACCTATATACGTGTGTGTGTGTCTGTGCGCGCAAGGGTATGTGTATGTGTGTGTGTGTGTTTTACTTTTAATATAGGTAGCTCTTGTACATATGGGTTTTACTTTTAATATAGGTAGCTCGAATATCTGTAACTATATGCATTTATAGTAGGACTGTCAATTAATCGCAGTTAACTCACGCAATTAACTCAAAAAAATTAATCATGATAAAAAAATAATCGTGATTAATCGCACTGTTAAGCAATAGCATACCAATTGAAATGTATTAAATATTTTGGCTGTTTGTCTACATTTTCAAATATATCAATTTCAATTACAATACAGAATACAAAGTGTACAGTGCTCGCTTTATATTATTTTTTACAAATATTTGCCCTGTAAAAAACCAAAAGAAATAGTATTTTTCAATTCACCTCATACAAGTACCGGAGTTCAATCTCTTTATCATGAAAGTGCAAGTTAAAAAATGTAGGTTTTTTTGTTATATAACTGCACTCAAAAACAAACCAATGTAAAACTTTAGAGCCTACAAGTCCACTCAGTCCTACTTCTTGTTCAGCCAATTGCTCAGATAAACAAGTTTGTTTACATTTGCAGGAGATAATGCTGCCCACTTCTTGTTTACAATGTCACCTGAAAGTGAGAACAGGAGGTCACATGGCACTGTTGTAGCCGGTGTCACAAGATATTTATGCACCAAATGTGCTAAAGACTCATATGTCCCTTCCTGTTTCAACCACCATTCCAGAGGACATGCATCCATGCTGATGATGGGTTTTGCTCAATAACGATCCAAAGCTGTGCGGATCAACACGTTCATTTTCATCATCTGAGTCAGACGCCACCAGCATCAGGCTGATTTTCTTTTTTGGTGGTTTGGATTCTGTAGTTTCTGCATCAGAGTCTTACTCTTTTAAGATTTCTGAAAGCATGTGCCACACCTCGTCCCTCTCAGATTTTGGAAGGCACTTCAGATTCTCACATTGGTATCTTCTTTGCATTTTGACAAATTTGCAGTGAAAGTGTTCTTAAAATGAACAACATGTGCTAGGTCATCATCCAAGACTGCTGTAACATGAAATATAAGGCAGAATACGGGTAAAACAGCAGGGGACATACAATTCTCCCCCTAGGAGTTCAGTCACAAATTTAATTAATGCATTATTCTTTTAACGAGTGTCATCAGCATGGAAGCATGTCCTCTGGAACAATGGCCGAAGCATGAAGAGGCATATGAATCTTTAGCACATCTGGCACGTAAATATCTTGCGACGCCAGCTACAACAGTGCCATGCGAACACCTGTTCTCACTTTCAGGTGACATTGTAATTAAGAAGTGGGCAGCATTATCTCCTGTAAATGTAAACAAACTTGTTTCTCATAATGATTGGCTGAACAAGAAGTAGGACTGAGTGGACTTGTAGGCTCTAAAGTTTTACATTGTTTTATTTTTGAATGCAGGGGTTTTTGTACATAATTCTACATTTGTTAGTTCAACTTTCATGATAAAGAGATTGCACTGCAGTACTTGTATTAGGTGAATTGAAAAATACTATTTATTTTGTTTTTTACAGTGCAAATATTTGTAATAAAAAATAAATATAAAGTGAGCACTGTATACTTTGTATTCTGTGTTGTAAGTGAAATCAGTATATTTGAAAATGTAGAAAATATCCAAAAATATTTAAATAAATGGTATTCTTTTATTGCTTAACAGCCCTAATTTATAGAAATCAGGCATTTTATAAATGACCAAAATTGGCCTTCATCCATATGCTGTTAGTCAACAAAACCAGAAATCTGGTGGCTAGGATAACTTTTAAAACTGGAAGGATATAAGCATTCTATTTAACATATCACAATTTTTAAATTTCCCATTGATGAATTTGGCTCAATGTATTGTAAATGCAGATTTCCTCCAGAGCCTCTCAAATCACTATCTCACCGTGCAAGAGGCATGTGGGATAAATCTTTTTTGTTATCTGACACACGCAGCAACAATCCATTTGAATAAAAAATTGGTTCAAAGTAAAATAACTGGCCAAAATGACCTCATCATCTGAACTGAACAATTTTTAGGTTTAGGTAAAGAATGTATCATCTTGTTGACACGACCAATCCTTCCAACAGTCCCAGCTTCCTTAACTTCCCCATGAACTGCCAACAGACTGCAGCTCCTTACCCGCTATCACTTCCGACTTCCTCGCTACTGGATCCCTGTCACTTCTGAATTCAAATCTTATGCCCAGGGTCTAAGCCTGGCCCTACTCTCTCCGTGACAGAGCACAGCCAGAGTGGTGTGGCCCAGCCTATTTCTGTGTCTGAGAAGTGCTGCTGGTTTCCTGAGTGGGGAGAAATGGACTTGGAATTTACTCCATGGCTGTAACAACTTTCTCTCCACTAGGCCCTTCGGAGTAATTTCTGGGAGGGATTTAGTGCAAACAGTATCTCCCTGGGCACCCCACCAAAAGATCTCCACAGTTGACGGAGAGCTGCTCTTCAAAGAGCACTCTCAACTGGCAGCTAGAGACAGAGCCCATTGACCTGAAGAGTCCGCTGATAACATGATCAAGGGGGGATAAGGTGGGAGGGGAAAGACCCCCAGCCTCCCTCAGTGACAACAGAAATGTTTCTGGGGACTTTGGAGCCCCTACTACTGCCACCTCACCGCCCCAGCAGATCTGATTGAGGTTGTTACTGAATCCCCAAGCTCTTCCTCTGTGGAGGAGAGAGGGTGGAAGGTGCAAAGAGGAACCCTGGAGTGGGTAGCTCTTGTCCACTACATACTCCCCTAAGGGAAGCAGGCTCACTGCTGGTGTAGAATGAGTAGGATGAATGGTCTCAGAATCATGGATAGGTGGGAGATACACAAGAAGTGACACTGGAAACCCTACATAACTCTGGCGACATCTGAGGTATCTCTGCTGGCGCTAAGTAATTCCTGTCTGCTCAACCCTGCATTAGCTGCAGGACCATTTCTTATCCTCTGCTCCCATTGCCTCCCCCAGTGATAAAAGCACATGTGATCCCTCTGATGAAGTTTATATGGGGAAAAATCCTGCCCCTGCAGCTATGGGGGGTCACATGACACTGAACCAGTGCAGTTCCACTCCAAACAGGAAGATGCAGGGCTGGGGAGAGGACGGGGGCTATGCAGCACATGCACATTGCATTGTTACACAAGTCCTTGGTCCTCCTCCCATGAAGAGGGGCGGGGGTGCACAAGCGGCTATTCAAGCCATTGGAAGCAATAACCTTTGTGGAGTGGCTATGGAGCTTCTCCATGGCCTGGAGAGGGCTAGGAGGAGGATTTCACCACCACCACCACTGCTCCTCTGTGCATCTGCCCAGTACTTGGCCTAGATACTCAGACTGGGTGCTGGGATTTGGATTTGCCCCAAGGTTAGCAGGCCAAATTAATCTTGCTCGTATGTGACACTGGAATTCAAGGAGCATGTGCTGCACAGACCGTCAGTTCCCAGACTCCTGTTTTACATGCTACTCAGACTGTGCAGAGGCGGGGTGGTGGCTATCTGGTGCCATGGGGGCATACCACCTCTGGGCATGCCATCTAACTCCTGCGTGCTGTCAGCCTGTTTGCTAGTTATTACAAAACTCATCTGTCCAACATAAACAACAATGTACATCTACCTATAATTTTGGCCATATAGCAGGATACCTGTTTAGTAGGTTACATGGTGAGGCCACAAGTGATTAGAAAATAAGAAGGTTCCAGTGCAACTGAACAACCTCCACAAATTCCCAAAGGCAAAATGGGGGCGGGGGGGATTGACCTGGGCAGTTACTCAAGACTCCTGAGAAATCTGGCTGCACTCAAATACGCTGGCAGCCAAGTCCCTCCAAAGTGCTGCATGACAGCATGCATTTTTGGATGTTCTTTGTCTTGGTTATTGGGTAAGTAAAACATCTCTCCTCCCCCAAGGTCAGATCCTGACTCCAAGGCCTTTGCACGCAGGGGACCCTCTGTGTGTGGATCCTCCCATCCCATGCAGAAATTTTGGAGGGTAGCAACTTTTGTGGTACCCCCTATATCCACACAATGTGAGGGGATGGATGTGGGGCAGGGAACAGGTGGACCTGATTTGGGAGAGGGCAAGCACCCACCAGCCCCACACAAATTGTTTGGAAGAGGTAATATACCTCCAGGCTGTATTAACTTTTCTGCAGCGCTCCATATTGGGGAGCCCCCATTTAATGGGGCTCTGTAGACAGCCACGGCCAGGGAACCCCAGAGCCAATGTGGAGGAGATGCAGAACCCCAGGATCTGCTTGGCCCTAGGGAGACCCGCTTGGTTGTGCAGGGGTTGAACTATGGCACATTCATTCCATGAAGAGCAAACAGAATGATTTGAGGAAATTTCCTCCCCCTTCCACAGGTATTTCTGAGGCAGGACATGCTCTGAGCCACAGAAATCAGCAAAAAGAAAAAAAATATAATGCTCTGAAGTCATCCCATGTGTAGCTCATCTGAAGTCAATAGGGATAAATCTGGCCCAGTATTTTTAAGCACTCCTTGAACACATTAAATTGACCTATAATGGCAGCAACAACACAGAATGTTACTATTTTCTAACTCTAACGTGAACATTTCTGTTACATTATAGAAGCAGGTTTATTCAATTGAATGTATGTTTAATAACTCTACATATTTCTTAGATTTGTTTTGCTAATTCTAGTAGCTCGATCCAGCACATAGGAGCATGATAAGCAGAATGACAGAAATTGTATTTCCTGCCTTTGAACTGTTAGTCACTGCTAGAGTATGTCATTCATTGCTAGAAAGGCTCACATTTTACCAAAAATAGATGAGAAAACCAACTGAGGCCAAATTCTACAGTCCTGGATTACGCACAAATCATTCCCTGCACTGGGAAAACCCAACGATCACCCCATGGGAAGGGGCTGGTGTTTACCTCACTCCTGCACAAAACAACTAGCAGGCCTGGCCTTAGTCAACAGGCCATTAGAGAGAAGGGGGAACACCCTGCACTACATGAGACAGCACCACAAAACTGGAGGCACTTTGGGAGAAAGACAGAAGAGGAGACCTTCCCCTGGCCCCCAGGACATGGCTCCTTTATGAACGGAGCTATCCAGGGAACCCTACCTATGGTTGCTGCGAAGATTTTCCCCAAGAAGAGCTCCTGTGTACAGCAGCATTATTTTATGTAGGATATGAAAGTCTGATGCTGTGCAAAGTGGTCATACACCCCTGTTCCACCCCTTCCTGCTTATGTCAGACCTCCTGGAGCTTGCATACTTACAAAAACATGGAGGAGGCTTCTTTAGATTTCAAGGGGAGGAGCAATGATACTCTTAGTGCAGCTCCTGTTTTTGCATTGTGACCCTGGCATTTGCTTAATTTCTGGCCTCTATAAATACAGCAAGTTTTATTATAAATACAGATTACTGCCCTACTCTACCCTTAATCAGCCAGAATTCTTACTGAAGTTGATGGGAATGCTGCCTGAATAAGGAGTGCTAGATTTGGGGCTTGATTCTCTTCTCACTTACACAGTACAAGTCTGAACTTCATGGAATTACAACAGTGAAACAGGTGTGAGACAGAATATGGCCCTTGGCCTTTAATAAGTTATAAAACAATCTTCATAGTAATTGTTTCTGAAACCAAATATCTAAATATTCTGTTACTGTGGATTGATAAATTAAAACCAACTCTGAAATGAAGAGTAGCAATGTTCTGAATAGAAATAAGATTCGTTTTGATATTCCAGGGTTATATGATTATTTGGATTTTCTTTGTTCAATGTACTGATTCTTTTTTTTTTTTTTTTTTTTTTTTTCCAAATCCTGTTTTGGGGTTTATATTTTTCTTTTTTTATGGCAGGGAAAACAAAATTTATTTCTATTAAAGT